CGAGTGCAAAGACCGCCTTCCTACCATAACTCATTGGCTTCCACACCAGGCAGTGAGTAGTTGGCCACCCATGCTCAATGTATCGAGCTGAGATCACAGTATTGGGAACAAGTGGACAACTTACTTTCCAATCCTCCTCTGTCAAGCTACTAAAAGCAATTAAATCCAACCTTTTGCCTCTCTATGACTGTTCATGTGGAAATGAGCAGACGTAAGTACGATCAAAATGTAAGCATCAAAAAATAATGTGAAGCAGATAAGCGATTGTAAATATTCTGCTGTAACTCAAAACAGTCAGGAGGTTGTCAGTCAGTCAGTAGCAGCAATGGCATATAGCATGAACAGTAGGGAATCCCCATGCAATATCCTTCATATAACGAAGTTCCTGGTCTCAGCTGAATCAACGCATGGTGAAATCAACTGGATGTCACAATGAGAAATGAGAAAACTGCAGACCCAGTTACCACAGGCCATTCCTTTGCATACTACAGAAACCTTTACTTGTAAGGGTATTGGCAAATATTGGAACTGTCTTGGCTGACGAATGGTGCAATACACAATGAGACCCCTGGTGTGAAAAAAGACAGAACTAAAAACAAAATGTTGTCAGAATTTTACCAGTCCTTTCAACTCTTTGAAAATGCAGCTGGCATGATCATATTATGACATTGCTTTGAGCTGCTTGATCACTGCTGCCTTCTGGCAATACATTCAGCAACTTCTTCGGACTGGTGCTCACTTTTATTATATCTTTTGATTGCAAAGCCACTGATAAGTAAAGCCAGATGTAACATGTTTCTATGAATGATACGCTTGATAGAGTATTGCTCTCAAATCAATTGTTTTCTCTATTCTATAAATTAACTGTTTGACATCACACATGTTTGACAACATTACTATCCTCATTACCGTTCAAAGATTACACGATCATTTCATGTATCAGACATTGTTATGCAGCAATAAAGCCAATTTCACATACCAGGCTCCAGGATCATAGTCAGCCCATACACGAATGAACTCATCCAAGTGGTGTGGTCCCAGGATGGAGGAATCTCGGGTTAAATACTCAAAATTGTCCATAATAACAGCTACAAAAAGATTCAACATCTGGAAAAAGAAACATTAAATAATTGATTAATATAAAGCTGTTACTTCAAAAAAAATGAACATTTGCAAAATTAATTTCTGAAAATGCTGAAATCCAGCATTTGGTAGCCAATGTGGACGTAATTAACGTGAACAAAGATAAAATTATTAATTTCACAGAAATTAACTAAAAGCAACAGCAATTAACAAATGGAACTTCAAATATAATGCATTGATCAAGGAAAAGAATTCTATAGACAACTGTATCAAAGTATTTCCATTCCAGTGCAGTCGATCATGAGGCTAAGAGTCAAAAACAGAAATTGCTGGAATAATTTAGTGGATCTGGCAGATGCCGGAGTTCTGAAGGAGGGTCACCAGACCCAAAATATTAACTCTGCTTTCTCTCGACAGATGCTGCCAGACCTGCTGAACTTTTCCAGCAACTTCTGTTTTTGTTTCTGATTTCCAGCATCCAGAGTTTTTTTAAGACTAAGAAGAGTACTAAGCTGTATTAACAGAGGGATACAATACAAATCAAAAGCTTTTATAATACTGCTCTGTATGTCACTAGTCAAACCCATATTATGCACTAAGTACATTTCTGGACTACTCAGACCAATGGAAATACCAGTGCAGAGACAATGAGAGGTAAACTATTAAAGATGACTCTGGCTGTCACAAAGTTAAATTGCGATGAAACGTTAGAGATGTTTGATTTGTTTTCTTTATGATGAAGAGTCTTCAAGGTGAATCCGTTTATGTTTTCAAGATTACAAAAGGAGTGAACGACAGTTCACCCTTGTTTACCATGATGAAGAAGTTAATCAATGTTGGACAAAGTGCTTCATTGTGTCTGTTGTTGGTAATATTTCAAAGTGATTAAATTCATGACATCCAAATCTGATGTGTAATAAAATATTTACCTATGTTTTTAATGTGATTGTGGCTGAGGAAAGCTTCAATAAGGAAAAAATGTTTATTTGATTTAATTTATTATTGATTATAATTTATTATTGATTTTAATTTATTATTGTCACATGTCCCACCCCCGATGCCCTCAACTGCATCTCTTACATTTCCTGCATTTCTGCCCCCAAACCCCCTGCCCCCAACAAAAATAAAGACAGAATCCTCAAATTCCACCCCACCAGTGTCCAAATCCAGTGTATCATCCTCCACCACTTCCGCCACCTACAATCCGACCCCACAGCCAAAGATATATTTCCCTCCCCGCCCTATCTGCTTTTCATAGGGACTGCTCTCTCCACGACTCTCTTGTCCACTCCACACTCCCCACCAATCCCACCACCCCTGGCACCTTTCCCTGCAACCGCAGGAAGTGCTACGCCTACCCCTACACCTCCCTCCTTACCTTCATCCAAGGCCCAAAGCAAACTTTCCACATACGACATGGGTTCACCTGTATATCCCTAACCTTATCTACTGTATCTGTTGCTCCCTATGTGGCCTCCTCTACATCAGTGAGACACAGACTCAGGGACTGTTTTGTGGAGCATCTGTGCTCTGTACGCGATAATTGACAACATCTTCCAGTCACTGAGATAGCAAGAACTGTAGATGCTGGAGTCAGAGATAACAAAATGCGGAGCTGCAGGAACAAGTAGGCCAGAAGTTGCCTTCTGGTCACTAACCATTTTAACTCCCCCCTCCTGCTCCCTGGTGACATGTCCATCCTGGGCCTTCTCCAGTGCCACAATGACACTACATGCAAACTGGAGGAGCAGAACCTCATATTCCACCTCGGGAGCCTACAGCCTGGTGGCCTGAACATAGAATCCACCAGTTTTAAAATCTCCCCACCCCCAGCCTCATCCCACATCCAATCCTCCCTCTCAGCTCCACCTCCTTGACCTGACACAACCTGTCCATCTTCATTCCCACCTACCTGCCTCACCCTTCCCACTGACCAATCCCTACTTCCCCCTAACCGCATCCACCTATCACCACTCCACTCACCTTTCCCCAGCCCCAGCTATCCTCCCTCTCGTCTCCTTGAACTGACACAACCTGTCTATCTTCCTCCCAACCTATCCGCCCCATCCTTCCCACTGACCAATCCCCATTACTCCCTACCTGCATTCACCTATAACCATCCCATCTGCCTTCCCCAGCCCCACCCCTCCTCTCTCTATTTATTTCTGGGCTCCCTTCCCCCTCCCCGTTTTTTGAAGAAGGGTCCAAACCCGAAACGTTGGCTTTCCTGCTCCCCTGATACTGCCTGGCCTGCTGTGTTCCTCCAGCTCCACACTGTGTTGTCTCTGACTCCAGTATCTGCAGTTCTTGGTATCTTCTTTCTTTACTCTTCGCTATATTAAGAGGATCAAAACTTCATAAAAAGTACCAAATCTGAGGAAATAATGCAATATTACTTTGAAACAAAATTAAGCCCTTCTTGCAAACATCTTTTTTTTTCCAACAAAATGATGTTTTCAACAGTATTTTTCCCACTTTTCTTATGGCAGGATAAAAAAATCAGAGGGGAACCAGACATTGTCCCTGGTCCTTTGGAACAGAGAAAAACATAGCCATAAATTAGCTTGTGAATTGCCAGAACTGCCTGCTTCATCCTGCTAAATGATTCCACAAGTTTGATGAATGAAAATATAATTTCAGATTTCTTTGTGGAATAGGTGACAATAAAATCTAAAAATCTAGGTATGAAAGCTAGGTGGGGTTGATTTACTAAAATACAATGAAGTTTTTCTACTACTAAACTTTCACTGCACTGTGTGGTTAAAGACTTTTGCTAAGATTTATTTTAATTTACCATGATGTCAGGTCTGAGGAATGGGCCTCCAAATCAATACAGCGACATCTGTTCCGATTGAGTATACATCTGTAGTGCATCAAAGTGCTTATGAGCACGGGAAAGGTCAGTGCGATTAATGCAAATGTGCCTGAATTATAGAATGTTTGCTGGTGGCAGCCTCATGCAAGAAGCAAGCTTTGAAGCTGTGACAAACTGGATAATTTAACATTTTGGCTATTTTGTGAGTTGGTTCCACTATGGTGCATGACTGATAATGATGTTATCTTTCTAAACTGAGGTTTGAAGTCTTGCAACCCATGTAGATTGCCTCTTTGTGATGTCAGACAATTCCTTGAGCACTAGTATTCCTGCCTGAAGCACATGGTACCAGCTCTGCAGGTCAATGATTTTCTAGGGTCTGCTCAGCTCCTTGAAGCATCAGGATGTTGCATTTGTCAATTGGATTCTTGGACTGAGAGGTGCTCCAGTTTCCACGGCTGTGACTGACTCTTTCAGTTCATTATTCAACATATTGCTCTTAATCAACATTAATAACCTTGATAAAAGCTCTCTCATTTTCAAAGCCACAACTGTATGGATGATCTTTGATGTAATAATTATTTTCCAAATGAGTAACACTGGAAAACAGAACAAGAACAGCTACCTATATAACAATCTTTACAATAGTAAAGAGAAGTCCCAGGGTGTTTTACAAGAGCATAATCATACAAAGTTCCACACTGAGACATTTAAAAGGATATTAGGATGAATAACCAAAATTGTAATTAAAAAGCTAGGTTTTAAGGAGCATTTTTATATAGAGGAGAGACATAGAGATGTTTGGAAGAGTAAACCAGAATTCAGGGTTTAGGTAACTGAAAGTTTAAGATTAATGACATCAAGGATGTATAAGAAGTCAGAATTAGAGTACAGTGATGTTTGGGGGTTGTAGGCAAGAGGAGATTACAGAGAAAGAATGGAATATGTTAAGAACTGGCAAAGCGAAGGCTTCAGATGGTATTAGACTACAAATGTAAATCCCATGTAGTTTCTAATAAGGCCATTAAATATCTGTTAATATATATTTCTAAGCTTAATTATTGCAGCATTTTGGTGTGAATTGAGCTGAGTGATAAGTACTTGTATGTCCTTTTTCAAATAGATAAGAAACACTTGCAGAAATACCATATGACTGAAATTGCCATGCAGTAAGATGATTTTCAGTAAATGCTTCCACCCGTTGCTAAACGTGAAGAATATAAATACAAGCTTTTTCTCTGGAGTGAACAAATTACTAGATTATAATTAATTTAATGTGCAGCTAATTGGAATCAAAGTTAGACCAGCCCTGTTGGGCAGGAGCTCAGCCATTTGGATTCATAAATAGACTTTCAGCTCTCAAGGTAGTCAAAGAGAAAAAATCTTGGTACGTGGTTTCATTTCAAACATGTGAGTAACTTGTTAGAAAATTTAAACTCTTTCCTTTGAATAAACATGAAGTCAGAAACTGCGATAACATTCTTATGTCCACCATTTCTCTAGGGGTATTGTTCTTCTTTTTCTGGTACCATTCTGAATTGATTGTGGGTTGCCAAAGTGCAGTTTATTCCATTATTTTGCCTCAAGGCAGAGTCAGGAAGCAGGTCTCAAGCCTACTACATGCTGCTGGTACTTTTCTGAACTATACTCAAGCCTTACAGCCAACTGAGCTAACTGGCCTCCCACACCGAGATATTATTTTGCTTCAAATAACGATTCACATATTCTTTAAAATATTAGATACAAGAAATGTTGTATAAACATGTTCACTCTTGGTCAGCTAATTTAACGGTCATCAATGTCTAGGCTACAGTTTTTGGTTAATTTCCCTTGGATGGTCAATTTGGAAAAGAGCATCAAAAACTGATATAAACACAATCAAAGGAGTTTGTAAAAAGGTTGCTAGCAATTTTAAAATAAATTGGCCTCTAATTTCATCAGCTCATTCCTTTAGAAGTTATGCAATCCTGGCAATCAGTTACAGTCAATTAGGTCTATGGATGATATTAGTCTTTGTAAAAGAATTTCTAATCTCCATCAAAATACTCGCCTTGCATGCATCCAAAACCAAGCAGGGAAACTGGCATGTAATGGTCTAATTTAAACTTTACATTTTGAATCAATTGATTTCAGTTTCACTGCTAAATGTAATAAACATAATGCCTCTTCCAACACCTACAGCTGTTAAGCATAATTTTTAACAATCTATATCCTCAATGCAGCAAGTGAAAGGTATTGGACACAATTGGTTGGGAATTTCATTATATTCCAAAACTGTTTGTTTTTCTGTTTTAAATGCTCCCATTTCTTGCAATCAACGTTACCATTAAGTTAGGTAATGTACGTTCTATAACAGTATTGGAGATTGGCATTGTGATTGTATGATAATTACACACAATTGTTGAGAATTCAGCTTTTGAGATTAAAAATCCTACTTTAATTCTGAGGTGGGTTGCAGTAGCTTGATCATACTACTTTCTCCTGTCTGACAGAAATTGAAATCTGATGTCATTTGTTAAACTGCCAGCTGGGCAGTTCTGCCTGTTGCTTGTTTCAATACACTGAAGTTCAATTTGACTTGGAGCGATCAGGTAGAACGTGCAAGATTGACTCAGCTGTCCATTATAGATTCCTCTTGATTTTCATTTTCACTGAAGTCAATGAAAGTTGGGAGAGATGCCTGCAATACATTGTAGCCCAAAGACAAAACTACATCAAATTAGCCTCTGATACCAGGAGGTCAGCCAGGAAAAAGAAATATGTGCTTTTGTGCAGTATATTTCACACCCTCAGATGGTCCCAAAGCACCTTACAGCTAGTGAAATACATTTGAAGTGCAGCCCCTGTTGCAATGTAGAAGACGACCAATTTGCACACAGCAATTCTCACAAATGGCATTGTAGCAATGACCAATTAATCTATCCTAATGATGTTGATTGAGGGATCAATATTGTCCAGAACACCAGAAGGAACTCTCCTGCTCTTTTTTTTTTTTTAAATAATGTCAGGCTTTCACATTCACCTGAATCAGGAGCACTCTCTTAGTACAGCGCTGTAGTGTCAGCCTAGTTTAGATGCTCAAATACCTTGTTAGTAATTTTAACCTAGGACCTTCTGACTGAGCAATGACCATTCTATGCACTGAGCCGCAGCTGGTGCCTGCACTAGAGCTCTCCAGGGAGAATGGAAAGTAGAAATTTTGCCTTTCTTCTACAGTTCTAATGAATAAATACAAGAGCAGCAGTGGGAAGTACTTAGAGATGAGTACCCTAATGATTTCCTTGCTTAGTGATTGAGGGAGAAATTGAGTGCAAGTCCTTATCCAGTATTGAACAAGAGAAAACTGAAACATGAGTCAAACTAAGATTATGTAAATGCCATTATCACTCCAAATCCACTCTGCCTATGATTTCCCTAATGCCTAGTTGCACCTGATACTTCAGGGCATGACAGTTCTCCAGTAATAATTTGAAAAAAAAAATAGCATTTAGTTTAGTTAATGAAGCTTTTTTCTCAGCAATTGAGTTAAATTTATTTTCATGTTTTTAAACCCTTAGTTATTCACTCCCCTGTATTTAACATTACCCATGAGATGAACCAACTTACAAGGTAAGCTGATGGGCAGCAGACATGATGCCAGGAATCTAGCAAGTTACTTGCAATTTGAAAACAAAATGCAATGTGTCCTTCCAAAAGCAGTCACTTCACAGTCCCTTTGTTCATCAGTTATCTACTTTGGGACTGGGATCAGAACAAATGGAGGAAACACAATTTCATATGATGTCTTTCAACAGCACAGTCTGACATACTGTGCTATTGGGACATCGAACTAGTAATTTGCAGCACAGCTTTCTTGTCATTGATCTGATCCCAATATTTTATGTAACATCTGCAAACAATAATGCCTATTCAGATTCAGAGGCATTTTGTTTCATAGTTTAGTTTGAAATGAGGTTATATAAAATATAAGCTACAGATGAGTTTAACATGGTCTGCATTCTTGCATTTTTGTCCCTAAACGTAGAGAATCCCAAATAATATAAAGCAGTTATACAGTGAGGGTTGAATTTCCAGATTCTATAGATTCACCGCTAGGTTCTCACCTTATCCTCTATTGCAGCCCTCATGTAATAGGAAAGCTATATCGACATGAAGAACAAAGATCAAAATCTATTAACTATACTATGTCTTGAGAGCTCCCTTATGTCTGTCTTTGGAAATAAAGTAATTTAAACTACTTACTAAATCCACTTAGGCCAACATTGACTTTTAAGAGACCACATATAACTTGCTGCTTTATAGGAGAAATGTTTCATCTTTTCATAGTTTGTGCCTTGTGTTAAGTTTTAAAACACTCCTCCAAGTACAAAGCAAAGCATTCAGCAATGTTTTGAGTGAAGATACCCAGTACAGGCAAAGGAAGAGTCAGGTGGCACCATTTAAGTACTGCTTCATATTAACCTGAAGGGTATCACTAAACCAGCTATAACCACCTGGATCACCAAGTTGGTGATGAACATTTCTTGGATTTGATCCATAAGGAGGATGGTGAGTGGGGTGCTGAAGGCTTGCCTGGAGAATATGATCAGGGTACAATCCCACTGAGTTTCAAGATAGAATCAGCTGAATATGGCATGCAGGTGCAGTGGACGGTGAGGAAGGCTAATGGCAAGCTGGCCTGCATAGCAAGAGGATTTGAGTATAGGAGTATAGATGTCTTCCTGCAGTTATACAGGGCCTTGGTGAGACTGCACCTTGAGTTTTGTGAGCAGTTTTAGACTCCTAGTCTGAGGAAGGACATTGAGGGAGTCCAGCGAAAGTTCACCAGACTGATTCCCGGGATAGCAGGACTGACATATGAGGAAAGACTGGATTGACTGGGCGTGTACTCACTGGAATTTAGAAGAATGAGGGGGGAATCTCATACAAACATAAAATCCTGACGCAACTGGACAGGCTAGATGCTGGAAGAATGTTCCTAATGTTGGGGAAGTCCAGAACTAGGGGTCACAGTCTAAGAAAAAGGGGAAAGCCATTCAGGACTTAGATGAGGAAGAATTTCTTCACTCAGAGTTGTGAACCTGTGGAATTCCCTCCCACAGAAATTAGATATATTCAAGAGGGAGTTGGACATGGCCATTGTGGCTAAAGTGATCATGGTGTATGGAGAGAAAGTAGGAGTGGGATACTGAAATTGCATGATCAGACATGATCATATTGAATGGCAGTGCAGGCTCAAAGGCCGAATGGCCTACTCCCTCACATGTATTCTATGTTTCTAATCACCAATCTTTTGAACCATGCATAAAGCATAACTGAAAAATGCTGGGTCTCTCCATAATATGCTATTGAGTTTAACTCTGTCTTTCCTTTCAAATTGCAAGTAGTCAAGGACTCTTAAAAAGATGAAAGGACCACATCAGTGCTTGAATTTATGAAAGTACTCTAAATTCTGCCTTCATTTGCAATGAGCAGTTCTCTAGTGTAAATTCCTCATTTGCATTTAAATAGTCTTACATATGTTGTGCAGTGGTTAAGTAGACTCCATGCATTATGAAAAGAGTTGAGAGAACAATTCCACTGACCAGCTCAAAGGATTAAATGCTGCATTGCATAGGAAAGAAGCCTGAAATTTTTGTGCTGAACAGTTTGGTGTTACAAAGCTTCAAACTTACCAGAAAAGAACAAAGGAAAATGAAAGATACGAAGTAGAAATAGGCAAAATCATTTCCACACTCATTGTTTTCTGTGCCCGAGTCTTTATCGCATGGGCTTTTGCTCAGACATGCCAGCATAATTTCATGCCAGCCTTCTCCAGTGGCACTCCTGCAAAAAATATTTTCAAGGTTTTAATAATGTCATTCCATACATTCTATCTCCTTACAAATTCATGTAGAGACAAAGTCAAGCCCACCAGTTTCTTTCAAATAAGACAACAGCAACAGTTTCCTTTCTACCTTCACGAAATAAAATGAATTCCAACTGTGGACATCCACATCCCATTTTAGGAAGGATACCAAGGCTTTGGAGAAGACTAGGAATGATATTCACCAGAAATGAGGGGATTCAGTTACGGCGAGAGATTGGAAAAGCTGTAATTATTGTTGGAGCAAAAAAGATATAGTTTATTGAAAATTATGAGGGGTTTTGACAGAGCCATTTGGAAGAAATGGTTTCTTCAAGTAAGTGGACAGAGATTTAAAACGCGAAAAGATTTAAGTGAAAACAAGACTTTTTTTTGTGCATATAAGAAGGCTGTTAAGGCGTGGAATGCATTACCTGAAAGGATAATGGAAATGGATTCTCTAACAATTTTCAGAAGACCACAGGACGTGAACAGAAATTTTACGGAGGCCAAGGGAGAGAGTAGGGTATGGAACTAAATTGGACAACTCATTCAAAGAGCTGAGTGAACTGGTGGCATGATATCCTTTTGTGCTGTAAGATTCTGTGATCTTTTGTTTGGGAATTAGCAGATACGAATGTTGTTCAATGGCATTCAGATTTCACATATGTAGGATTGTTTTCTCATCAAAGTCTGAAACAAATTTTCTCAGTACTGTCAGCTATTGTTAGATGGAGTGGCAGTTAAGATTCCATAGTTGGCTCTAGTCTCTCTGGGATAGATGCAGAAAATTTTAGCTAAGGTTCCTAACACCTGATTGCTGTCAGGCTGGCAGGTGGACTCTGTGAGGGCTGACTTGGACCCAGTTGTGTATTCAGAGCAAAACATGATGGTTAAAATCTCACTCCCTCACACTTTGAGCACTTGGGTGCTTTGCCCTTGGAACAGAAGGTCAACGAGTTTGCATCTTTAGAAGAGGAAGGAAAAATGCAATTTTCTATCAAGAATGATCATAAAGCCCATAAGTAACTTCTCAATCACCCAGAAGGACAAGGGCAGCAGATGCATGAAAACATCTCCACCTGCAACTTCCCCTCTAAGCCACACAGCATCCTGAGTGGGAACTATATCACCACTCCTTTACTGTCCTTGGGTGAAAATCCTGTAACAGTTCAAGCAGGCAGCTCACAACCACCTTCTCCACGGCAATTAGGGATGGGGCTGGCATAGTGGCTCTGTGGTAGCACTGTCGCCTCACAGTGCCAGGAACCCAGGTTTGATTCCAGCCTCAGGTGACTGCCCACGTGGAGTCTGTATGTTCACCCTACGTATGCATGGGTTTCTGCTGTGTGCTCCAGTTTCCTCCCACAATCCAAAGCTGTGCAGGTTAGGTGGATGGGCCAAGCTAAATTACTCCATAGTGTCCAGGGATGTGCAAGCTAAGTGGATTAGCCATCGTGGGGGACTGGTTTGGCTGGGATGCTCTTTGTAAGGTCAGTGTGGACTCAATGGGCCAAATGGCCTCTTTCCACACTGTAAGGATTCTATGAATGCTGCCCCAGCTAGTCAGGAAAACAATCACTTCTCTTAATTCTCTGTCATGTCTTAATATGAAAAGTATGTTTAAGTAAATGAAATGTATTTCAGAGTTGTGAGTGAGCGGAGGTTTCAATTAGTAAGCAGTGATTAAAGATTGGGCAGAACAGCCTCCTTTACAGAGAAAAAGAGGATCTAAATAATGTTTTGGACAGTGACTATTTCAGATGGAAGATTTTGCTCTCTTCTTTCGTCTTCTGTCAGATCTGGCACCAAATTTCAGTTCAATTAGGCCCATCTTTCTGTAGCCTCATGAATATTCTATCAACTATATTTGCTGTCTTGATCAGTCAGAAACTACCTGAGCAAACATTACATTTCACTGTAAATTCCCTGAATCCACGTTATGAATTGTTAAACACAAGTTTGTTGAAAGAAAGCATCAACTGTTGTGTTCCTGTCCATCTACCATTCAATCCCCAGCTGGCCCCCTGCCAAGATTATCTTTCTCAACTGACGTGATTTCCCAGCTCACACTGCAATCTTAACTGCACAGTTCATATCTTCAAAGACTAAAATAATCCTTTTGGTTTGCTTTTCTTCCCCTAATTTGCATTGCAATGATCTTTGCAGAGAATGTCCTTACACTCTTTCCTTCCACTAATCATTTTGACTGGCATTAGATTTTATTTTCAATGATCTTTTCAAAGCTTGTACCATCTGGACGACAAAGAGTGCTGAAAAGTACTAGACAGTACCTCACAGCAATTGCTACCACTACACTCCTGAAGTGCAGGGATCTGAAATATGTATAAATGATACATAAAAGAGTATGGGAGGAATTCCATCAGCTGTACCTCCACTGTATCCTTTGGAGTCACCACTGATCATTGATCAAACACAAGTGTTCTTCACGATCATAAGACAAAGTTCCTGCAAAATCAACTTTGACTGGACGGCACAGTGGTTAGCTCTGCTGCCTCACAGTACCAGGGACCTGGGTTCGATTCCACCCTCAGGTGTCTGTTTGTGTGCAGTTTGCACATTGCCTGCATGGGTTTCCTCCCACAGTCCAAAGATGTGCAAGTTAGGTGGATTAGCCATGCTAATTTACCCACAGTGTTCAGGGATGTCTAAGTTAGGTGCGTTAGCTGTAGGATTACAGACAGAGAGAGGCTAGGGGAATGGGTCTGGGTGGGATGCTGTTTGGAGGGTTGGTGTGGACTTGTTGGCCTGTTTCTACATTGAACGGATTCTTTGGACTGGACACCAACACCTAATGGTCAGAAAGAGTCTTGCCAGCCATCTCCCAAATGGTTTGTATGCTGGGAAGCAAAAGAACACTTCAAAATGGTACTCTGAACCTCTCATTGAAAATCACTGATGTTATCCCCGGAGGGAGTTTGCTACCAATCATTCAAAATGGCACCGACTTGACCAAGCTGCACTGCACTTCAAGTCTAAATACCTTGATGATGAGGTACAGTTCCTTCAAAGAAGGAAAGAAAATGAAATGAAGCTTGCACTCTAGTTCCCAGTGGCTTATTGGAAATCCCGTCCCATGCGTCCAAAGGAATCATCTTGTTCAGGCATATGAGGATCCATGTGAGAAACCTGTGATTCTGAATGGATGTCATTCTCAAAATGAGGGGCAGTCACAGATGACACAGGACACAATTTCAAAATCTGACAGTGATAAAACTTGGATGTATTGTGAACTATGAGGAGGACAGTGATAAGCTTCCAAAAGGCATAGCCAGGCTTGTGGAATGATGGATACTTGGCAGATTAAACACAGAATCAGTCATTTGGTAGCAAAGAATTTGAGTAATTCTGAAAAGAAAACATCTCATCAAGACTTTTCTTCTTACTCATCAGGACAGTTTGTAAGAATACCAATATAAGGGGGAAGCCAACATTTACACTGTATGAGAGGAGAGTGCTGCTTTATTGGTAAGTGAAGTCTGATGAGTAGAGTCATTACCATTGAGAATGCACTGGTTAATGATGACTGAATGTTAACTGCCAAGATTTGCTTGTAATTGGGCAGGTTAACTTGGGTTGATGAAGGCAGTGTACCGAGAGGTGAATCAGCAAGCATGCTAACATGTACTGCAAGCTACATATGCTAATGCAAAAATGTACTGAAGACCATGTACATAGGCTGCACCTGTTTCAACACGACAGAATAAGAGACAGCCAGTGTCCATGACAGGAATGGCTGCAGCGAACAACATCTGCTCTGGGAGGCAGTACCAGTGGATAGGGCTGTTGCTATGTCTGTTTACCCCCACCTCCCTCTGAACCAACCTTACTTTGGGTTTTTATTCAAAACTATGGAACTCCATCTCTCCTAGATTTCCTTCTTAAGCTTTTCAATTCCTGAAAAACAAAGGGTGGCACAGTGGCTCAGTGTTTACCACTGCTGCCTCATAGTGCCAGGGACCCGGGTTCAATCTCAATCTTGGGCAACTGTCTGTGTGGAGTTTGCACATTCTCCCCGTGTCTGTGTGGGTTTCCTCTGGTTTCACTCAACACTCCAAAGGTGTGCAGGTCAGGTGGATTGGTCAAGCTAAATTGCCAATAGTGTCTGGAGATGTGCAGGCTAGGGAAACGCAGGCTAGCAGCTCTGGATGGGATGTAGGGCCAATATGGGTTGAATGGCCTGCTTCCAGACTATCGGGGATTCTATGAAAACACCACATCCTGAATTGTTTTGTAGTTTTAGTGTCTTCAGCCCTTGTGAAATTTTGTATTCTGGGACTTGGAAATTGAAATAATAAATGTAAATTTTCAATGTAATAGTTACTATATTTACTCTATCTTTGCTTTCAGATGTTGAAACTATGACCGGGAACGATTAGATTGTGAAAAGCATTGCGAAAATTCGAGGCCTACATCCTTGGAATGATTGATTGGAATCAGTCCCGAAACTTGTAATGTCACAATATTTGTCACATTAGTCATAACTTGTGTTAGCACTGGATCACTTTGCATTGCAAAACTTATGTTTTCTGTTATTTTACCTGAATAAGAGCATTAGGGCTTGTAAGAAAGTCCTAAAGTTATTGTGGCGATTAATTGCACCATCATCATCGAGTGCAATGTTGCCAAATACCTTGAAAAGAAAAAACAAAATGTTGCAGTTTATGTTTTAGTAGCTGTTATTTTGATAATATTTTGATAACTGTTAATATTCCAATAGTTAGCAAAAATCTGTGGCAAACACTGTAGTACATCATATAGCATGAGGTGATTTCTGAACAAACTGGAACTGATTTTAAATAATGAAATTCTGATTCCACTTTGTTACTTGAATTACAACTTTAACCTTAAACATAGATCAATTATCATGTTGAATAGATTTATTATAACTAAAAATAACAAAATTTAACTCATAAAGATGGAACATCAAATTGAGTCAACAAAAACATTCACAAGATTTATTTTAATATTCCATGGACATTGCTGATTAACATGTAAAGCCAATGGTTGTATCTGGAGACTGACTGGTATAATGTTGGACTATTTCAAGACAAATAGGGAGGAACTAATAGTTGTGCTGAACTAACAAAGTTACAGCTAGACAGATTCAGTAAAGGGTATCTTCTTTCAGGATGTGATATAAACATTGACACTTTTTTTTTGCAATGGATAGGTTTTGCAAACAGATCAAGCAAATGGACCCAACTGAAATCAAGCTTGCATGTTTTCAATACATGCACTGCAATGGGAAAAATTACTGAAATTTTTGAGCTACTGCGGAAGTCAGACATTTAAGCACTTCCTAAATAACTCTGAATTTATTGAGGAATTCTACTAATATTATGTATGGGGGAGTTGTTGAATTGAGCTCCATCTGCCTGCTCAGGTGAACTGCAGAGAAGACTCTCAGGTGGACTGCAGAGATAACTCCAGGAGTTCAGTCACTGTTCAGGTCAACATTTACACCTCAACTAATTGTAATTAAAACAGTTTAACAAATCATTTTAGACAGACAGGAGGCTGGAAGAACATAGCAAGCCAGGCAGCATCTGGAGGAAAGGAGCAGTCAATGCTTCGGGTATTACCCTTCTTCAGGACTGGATGTGGGGGTATGGGGAACTGCAGATAAAGAGTGTGGGGGGTGCGGAGGTGGAATGGTGGTGATAGGTGGACACTACTAGTAGGTACGACCTGGTTGGTTGATGGGAGGCATGAATTCAGTTGGTGGCTGGAAGGGAGGGTCAGGAGGTGGGGCTGGAAGAGGAGGCGGGGAATGGGTGAGAACGTTATTTGAAATTAGAGAACTCTATATAGAGTTCTCCGGGCCGTAGGGTGCCTGGGTAGAAGGTAAGATGTTGTTCTTCAAATTTGCGTTGCGAGACACTGCAACACTGCAGGAGGCCGAGGACGGACATATCCGAGGAGGAGTGGGGCAGGGAGTTGAAATGGGCGGTGACCGGGAGGTTAGTTGGCCGTTATAGACCAGGCAGAGGTGCTTGGCGAAATGGTCACCTAGTCTACATTTGGTCACACCGACGTAGAGAAGACCACATCGGGAGCACCGGATGCAATAAACTAGGTTGGAGGAGATGCAGGTGAAGCTCTGTTTCACTTGGAAGCGCTGTTTAGGGCCTTGAATGGAGATGAGGGAGGTGGTGTGTGGGCAGGTGTTGCATCTTTTATGGTTATAGGGAAGGTAGCGGACAGGTTGGAGTGGTTGGTGGGGAGTGTGGCACGAACTAAGGATGGTGAAGGGCATAGTCCTTGCGGAAGGCAGAGAGGGGAGGAAGATGTTCTGGATGGTAGGGTCTAATTGGAGTTGGTGGAAGTGTTTGAGGATGATATGTTGGATGCAGAGACTGGTGGAGTGGAAAGTGAGGACAAGGGGGACCCTATCTTTATTATGTTTGGAGGGGAGGGCTGGTTAAGAGCTGTGGAACAGGGAATGGAGGAGGCACGTTGGAGCACTGTCTGGATGACAGAGGGGGGGAAAAGAGCGTTGTTTGAAAAAGGCGCACATCCGGGATCCTTGACAGTGGAACATCTCCTCGTCAGAGCAGATGCGACGGAGGAATTAGGAAAATGGGATGAAGTTTTTGCAGGATACAGGGTGGGAGGAGGTGTAATCTGGATAAATATGGAGTCCGTGGGTTTATAGTAAATGTCGGTCTGTAAACTGTCACCAGAAATGGAAATGGAGAGGTCACGAAACCTACATCTCCTCCAACCTAGTCTATTGCATCCAGTGCTCCCAATGTGGTCTTCTCTATGTCGGTAAGACCAAACATAGGCTAGGTGACCGTTTTACCAAGAATCTTCACCTGGCCCGTAACACCAATCTAACCACCTGGTCACCACCCATTTCAACTCCCTGTCCCACTCCCCCTCTGACACGTCTGTCCTCAGCCTCCTCCAGCATCGCAGTGACTCGCAACGCAAATCTGAAGAACAACACCTTGTCTTCTGCCTGGGCACCCTACAGACCAGAGGACTCAACACTGAGTTCTCCAATTTCAAATAACATTGCCACCCATCCCCCAACTCCCCTTCTAGCCCCACATCCTCCCTTCCATTCTACCTTCTGACCCTCCCTTCCAGCCACCAACTGCATTCATTCCTCCCATCGACCAACCAAGTCGTACCTACCACCAGTGTCCACCTATCACCACCATTCCGCCTCCACCCCTTCCCCTCACTCTTTCTCAACAGCTCTCCCCTACCCTCAAATCCAGTCCTGAAGAAGGGTAATACCTTGACTGTTGACTGTTCTTTTCCTCCAGATGTTGCCTGGCTCGCTATGTTCTTCCAGCCTCCTGTTTGGCTACCTTGGATTCCAGCATCTGCAGTTATTTTGTCTCTAACAAATCATTTTATTCACTGCTATTTGTGGGGCCTTCCTCTGCACAAGTTGGTTGCCTATTTTTGTCTGAAGTTAAGTGCTTTGGAACACCCTGAGGATATAAATCGATACTGTACAAATGCAAATACATTTTTCTTTCAGACTTTATCCTACATCAAACCCTGTGCTGGAACGTGGAATTAGAATTGGTGGGTAGTTTATTCAGCTGCACAGACAATGATAGGCTGAATGGTCTTTCTTTGTTCTAGAATGTTCCAGGACACTTATAATGAGCTAGTCCATACTTAAAATTTGGTTAATGAGTAACAGGAACATAGTTAATCAAATAATTAATAACTTCCCTAATATAATGCATTTTAATTGTCTTAAGTGTCTGACCAAATTAAATGCATCAGTTGTAGGTTAGTTAAGTTACAGAATTGTTGCTGAATCAGGTGCAGAAAGAACTCCTTCGTATTCTTTAAAGAATGCCATTGGATCTCTGACACTCAATGGTCATGCAGACTCCAACTAGAGCAAGACTGCAACTCTTTCTCCGTACCTTTAATAAGGTTTCAGTCTAGGTCCTGCAGACAGACATTGGAATGTCTGGGACCTACAATAAGTGCGATGTGTGGAACTAACACTTACTGATGACTGTGCAATATTGAAAATTGCTGAAACAAATACACATTTTCACCATGGACTCATTAGAACATTCTGCAAGAATACCAACTCGAGGAATAAATAAAACAACATTTATACCATATGAGAAAACAGTGCTAATTGATTGGCAAGAGGAGTCTGTTTAGTAATGACATTCCCATGGAGACTACATCCATTAATGCTGATTGACAGTTAACAGCTAGACTTTGTTTCAATTATAAACCAGGCAGGGTGAATCTGATCAGCTGGAGCAGTGACCTGAGAAATAACCTGTCCAGTCACCCGAATGAAAGCAACATAGAGCGGATGCTGGAAATCTTAAACAAACAGAGAATGCTTGAGATACTCAACAGGTCTGGCAGCATTTGTGGAAATAGAGTTAATGTTTCAAGTTTGGTTTGACTTAAAATAGTAACTCTATTTCTCTCTCCAGAGGTGCCTCCAAACCTGCTGGGTTTCTCCAGCATTGTCTAGGTTTGTTTAATCAAAGTCTCCATCACTGGTGATTTGAAACAGGCGTGGTGCATTTTTTTTTGTAGCAAAGGACAGGGTCTGTGTGTAAATATTTTAAGCTTCCTTTACACTTGAGATCAACTAACAATCCTGAATTGTTTGGAGTCATAGTGTCATAAAGTTATACAGCACTGAAACAGACCCTTCAGTCCAACTCGTCTATGCCGACCAGATATCTTAACTTAATCATTTGCCAGCATTTCACCCATTTCCCTCTAAACCATTCCGATTCACGTACCCATCCAGATACCTTTTAAATGTTGTAATTGTACCTGCTTCTACCACTTCCTCGGGCAGTTTGTTTCATAGACTCACTACCCACTGCATGAAAATGTGGTCCCTTTGATGTTTTTCCCTCTCACCTTAAACCTACGCCTTCTAGTTTTAGACTCCCCTACCCTGGGAAAAAATCTTTGGCAATTCACCCTATCCATTGCCCTCATGATTTTATAAATCTCAATAAGGTCAACCCCTCCCCTCCCCCAACCTCTGATGCTCCAGGGAAAATAGTCCCAGCCTATTCAGCCTCTCTTTAAAGCTCAAATCCTGGCAACATCCTTGTAAATCTTTTCTGAACCCTTTCAAGTTTAACAATTTCTTTTCTATAGCAAGGAGACCACAATTGAATGCAGTATTTCAAAAGTGGGCCAACCAATCTCCTATACAGCTGCAACATGACATCCCAAATCCTATATTCAATGCACAAAGGCAAGTGTACCAAACACCACCTTCACTACACTGTCTAAACGGGACTCCACCTTCAAGGTGTCTTTGTTGAGCAGTGCTCCCCAGGACCCTACCATCAAGTGTATGTTACTGTCAGAGTTAAGGGTGGGCATAATTCCTTACACACTCAGGCTGATCAAGTAAATGGTGTCCAATGCTACACATTGTGTTGCAAATTCTGCCAACGCAGCTCATCGTATATGGTTAGTCCATTGGTTTTAGTGAACAGCTGAACAAACATGCTGTTTGATATGATCCACTTGTCTTACAGCGTACATACGTGGCATCACAACAGCACTGAAAATCATATACCACACACTCATTTGTGTGATAGGCAGAATTTCCTTCTGCCTTGATGGGAGCAGTGTACTAGTGGTGAAACCCACTCATTTGTGACTGCATAGAAGCAGGTTGGAACAGCTAGCTTCACCTGCTACTCAAAAGTTTGAGATACCTTACTATTACACAGTAATCTGAGGTAGACTGGGCAAATTTTAGGACCAAGAGAGACCACATTAGGGCCTTCATAAGTTTATGCAAAGTACAGTGAGAAATGATCTAATCTGGGTAGCCATTATCCCACAGAATAGTTTTGATGTACCGTATTTTAATGCCGAATTTGCACAGTGAACAAATGGCTTGGACCTATTTACAATGTTGCTGATAAGGCTAACCTTAGACACATCCCAGTGTGCATATTCACCAGTGAAGGTAGGTTTGAGGTAGACAATAGTAGAGAACCTCCTAGGTCATTTTCTCAATCAGAACATTGAGGAAAAGGAACTCATTTGACTGGTGTTGCACTTCAAACATCAATTTGAGTCCAGGATGGGGCCTACTAAGTTGAGAAAATTCTTACATGTAGCTGCAGGTTCAAATATAGCAAATGTAACATCTACATTTGGGAAATGTAGAGGGTGTGGGAGGTTAGTGAGTACTGATTGTAGTGCAGATCCCATAGCAACACCATCATTAGGCATACCTGGGACAAACTCACAGAAGGCCCTAAGTCACTCTTGGTCCTGAAAATAGCCCAGTTCACCTCAGATTACCCTTGAAAGGTTAAGTATCACAAAGGTTTGAATAGCAGGTAAGACTAGCTGTTCTGTACTTCTACTATACAGTAACAATATAAAAGGTGTTCACCACTAACAAAATGCTGTTGTCAAGCCAAAAAGATAGACTGCCCACCACAGTAATAAGTGATGTGATTTTCAGTGTTGGCGTGATGCCAGGTAGATAGGCTGTAATCACAATGACTCGCAGATTATATCAAACAGCATGTCCCTTTGGCTGTTCACAACAAGCAAGTTATTAACTACACCTAACTAGCCCATGCTTGACAACCTTGCAATATAGTCTGTAACCCTAGGTGTGATTTTGCAATTGAAGAATATTTGCGAGATAATCCTGCATGGGTTTTCTCTGGGTGCTCCGGGTTCCTCCCACAATCCAAAGATGTGCAGGTTAGGTGGATTGGCTATGCGAAATTGCCCGTAGTGTTCAGGGAGGTGCAGATTAGGTGGGTTATAGGGGAATGGGTCTGGGTGGGATGCTCTGAGGTTCAGTGTGGACTTGTTGGGCCGAAGGGCCTGTTTCCACACTGTAGGGATTCTATGATTCACTAGTTCATTTCTCAGGCAATACCCTGACCAATCAGATTCAACTTATCTACTTTAAAGTTTGAACAAGGCCCGACAGTTAACTATCAATTGGCATTAACAGATGCATTTTCTCTGGCAGTGTCTTCTACTAATCAGAGTCTACTTGCCAATCCATCAGAACTCATCTCTTATAATATAGATGTTGGTTTTACCCTTGAATTGGTATCCCGATGGATATAAGATGAAAATCTTCAACAAAATGAGTCTTTTTTCAGCTCATGTTCCAATAACTAAATGTTATGATCTACAGACTGAAAACTTAAATCTCACTAAAAAGAGATATGAGCTCCAGTATTTTATTCATTTCAAACATTAATGTTATTTTACATATTTATGAACCAATGTATTAGTTATATTTATTAATATTTTGTACTGTATATATATATATATTCATTTCTTGGTTTTTAGAGATTGAAGTAATTTGTACTTTAAATTAAATGGTTATTGCTCAATGTAAATTGGATTGACATTTCTAAATTTTAAAATTCATTTGCATTTCATTTACAAATCCAGAAACACATTTTACTAAATATTTCCTCCAATTATTGAAAAGCTGTTTTGCTAATTGATGACTATGCAATATAGACACTGGGAAAATAAACATTGTTCAGATTTTCATGATGTGTCAGTGATTAATTAGTCTTTTATTCAGCATAAACTACATTAAAGCTTAATGCAACATTAATTGCACTGACCTGCATTCCAATAATGGCATAGATGAAAAATAACATTGCAATCAGGAGACAGACATACGGTAATGCCTGCAGAAGAAACAAAGTAAGCAACTCTGAAAAAACCTATACAGCATCAACACAATAGGAAACATTAACATTTTTATTGGAATATTAGATACAATGCACAGGGTTCTGCATCTTTGTTTTAAGGTCTTGCTATTTGTGCTCACCGAACAATTTGTTGGTTAGGTACTGTACTGCAATAAATTTGAATTAATCTAAGTCTATGAAACATTAGCAAATTCTCAGAAAATAATAAGCATCAATTTGACATAATTGTCTGGCAGCTCCTTTTGTGTGATTTTGATCATATGTTTTATAGAAACATACAATTAAATGTTTATTCCTATTTTGTCATAGTAGCTATGTTTTTGAAGGCATTGAAGGACAACCAACTTAACTAATCAATGTTCTTGTGACAGGAATTTTAGCAGCTCACTGAAATCTTGCTGGCAACCAAATCAAAACAGCCAGGACTTTATTTAAAACTATAAGACAACATTCTATTTGGTCTTGGTATAATGTGGGCACTTAGTGAAAGGTGCATTACACCACTCGTCTGTCCCCCTCAGAGTCAGGTTCCTTTATTTTTCACTTTTTAATGGAATACTCATCTACTCAATGCAGAAATAAGATTACATTCTGTTTCAGATGACTAAAAGCAAACATACAAAAACATCAGGCTCAGTAAATAAATATTATTTTTCTTTAGTGTTGCAGTTAATGACAACATGCACGAGGAACTTAACATTTTGCCTGTTATCTCATTTGAAAGATATGTTTCTACTTGAGTGGGTATCAAATCCAAATCTGCGAGTGTCCAACAGATGGTGGGATTTATCCATAATTCAATTATTTATGCATACAATAAGTTTTGTAATTAACATGTATTATTGTAAATAGAGAAACTTAATGCCAACGTTAATGTGACTTCATCATTAGTTTTGTTGCGCTAAGGTAATGCATACTGTAGGTAGATTCTAGTCTGAGTTGAAGACATATTCTCCTATTAATGTTGTTTACTGTCCCAATCAGTTCTGGAATGTGGTACCCAATGATTTTGCCCACTAATATTTCCAATGTGCTAATGAAGGTGACACAGACACCTACATCACTGGCAAGGATGCACCTGTTCTTGGGAGATGGGCTGGGACATGGGGTAACAATGTAGAGAGCTGCATCAGGTGACTCCCAGACATTTCTGTTACTATGAAAAATTCTGAATTATGAATAGGAGCAGACAACTAATTTAACTAATCAATGTCCTTGTGACAGGAATTTTAGCAGCTCACTGAAATCTTGCTGGCAACCTTAGCAAGGGGCTGGAGATGCCCTCTCAATCCCAGAACTTCCTCAGCAGTGCCCACCTTTTCTGGTGGAGCTGCTGAATCTCTATAAGTGCTGGCACCCATCTGCCAGCCTGCTAATATCTTGCCCACTGACATTTTAAAAATCATAATCTAAATGAACTGCCAGTTTTGTTCCGCTTGTTCTAAGACAGTGATCTTCACAGGGCCAATTGTTATTGCGCTCATTAATTGAATCAGTATGAAGTGCTAGCTCAAGAGTCAGTCTCTGTACATTAACATCAATGATACAAAATTGTGGCAAACTTTCTGCTCAATTGACAGCGGTCTTCAGTGATCATTTGTCCCGTTGCAGGGATAAAAACTACAACTAATAACCAGCAGGTGGCAGAATTACACCATAAAACTTGCGTCAGTTGAGTACAACTCAAAAACACAAGTTATTAACCTTGTTAAATACAATTACTAAGCAATAAAACAGCTCTTCTATTGATCCAAACTTAAAGCTGCCCCTATATGGGTTTTAATGCTTCCTGTTTAAATTCACTATGCTCGCGCTGCATTTCAGTTTAGTCATGATGTTCTGAGACGCACCTTGAAGGACTGCACAAACGTCCAGAGCAAAATACGAATGGTATATCCCTGGCGGAGGAGCTTGATAAGACGTGCTGCTCTGAACAACCGCAGGAAGCTGAGATTGATAAAGTTATTCTGGTGAAAGCAAAGAATTCAGGGTACGGTAATTGTCAGCAACCAGAAACATCAATTTAGCAGTGGAGTTCGCACTGCAATGAATCGTTTAAAAGGAGCACTCATAATATAATGTTTCACTTTGTCACATCTAGTCCTCATTTGAAATATCTGAATTTAATAGTGATTGAATATTTTTCAGAAGTTCATTATAAACAAATAAACTGGATTAAAAACATTTATCCTGCATCTAAAACAGAAGTTGCTGGAAAAGCTCAGCAGGTCTGGCAGTATATGCTGAAGAAAAAAAATCGGAGTTAACGTGTAGGGTCCGGTGATCCTTCCTCAGAACGGGTCACTGGACCTGAAACGTTAACTGTGATTTTTTTTTTCTTCTTCACAGATGCTGCCAGACCTGCTGAGCTTTTCCAGCAACTTCTGTTTGTGTTCCTGATTTACAGCATTCATAGTTCTTTCGGTTTTTATCCTGCATCTTAGTTCCCTTTACTGACTGCAATTTGAATTAAACTTCTTTTTTCAATAAACGCCACCAAAGGACAACATTGTGAGCATTTTTCATGATGAGAAAATTTACATTAATATTACTGCAAAAAAATTGGAGAACAAACATTGAGCATATTCCTTTCAAATAGATGTGTAATTATTCTAATTTACAAATGCATATGAAACTTCAATAGCATAATTAATATAATCTTAGGTCATAATTACATTTTACCGTCTGGTTTTGGAAGACATGATTGTTTATCACTTTATTAAGAAGAATGCTAACATTAAATCTCATTTCAACTTTCATCTTTTCCTTGAAATACACAAAAAGATAAATTGTTTGATTTCTGAAAGATGAATGTTTGAAGATAGTTTGTATTTATTGAACCTCTGAAAAATTGAGCTATCTTAATCATTTGCAATACAGATCAATTGAAAACATTCAAATAGTTGCAGCAAATGAGTGGTGCAAGGGTAAAACATTTCTACTTCAGTCTTTAAACACTCCATTGCTGTTCTTGTGCTAAAGATGATGCAAAGCATTATTGTGGCAATTTTGGATGCAAGAGTTCGAACATGTAGTGAATTCCAGATTTGCCACACATGCCATCCAATAGGGTCACTAACTTGTTTTACAATGGCATTCTGAATCCATGGTATCAAACAAACCCTGATGAAGTGTTGCTTTAAATTATCGCAAAAGACTGAACTTTTAAGAGAAATTAGAGTTACTGACTTCATGTTGCAGTTTCTCATTAGAATGCAGGCTTCAGTTGATAGAGCAAGTAGCTATTCCGATGACACCTGCAATGGAGGTGGATGTCTGAAGGAAAAAGGTGAATGTCCTTTGCAAAAACAAAAGGCATGAGACTGATTCAAATAGAAAATCACTTTTCAGTCAGAGAATAATTAAAAAGTCCATCTTCTGCAAGCATCAGCACACCAGAGCCTCTAGCTCCTATCTGTCAAATGGTTAGTTGGCACTGTTTGCTAATCATCTTCATGAGCATTTCAACATATACTCTTCCTCACTTTGCTTTTTGGAAGGGATTTAAAGATGTGTTTAGAATTTGCATTCATGGAATGTGGC